AAAAATGGTTTAAGTCAATAAGCCGTCCAATTCTCAATGACCTGCGTCACATCGCAACCTTGTAAATATCATAATGATTCATTTGTTATTGTAGTTATGTGTCTGTAAAATTGTCAATGATTGTTGTTTTTTTTACATATGTATAGTCCGGACACCCCCTATTGAAACCAACTTTTGCTGATGGGACTAACATCGTTAAATAAAATTTTGAATAAAATTAATTAAAGAAATAAGTAATAATATAACTTGGATAAGTTATTGGGATTATAACAAATGCGCAAATCATCCTTGGAATGTGACCAGAATAGAAACGCATATTTTAGTGATTAAAAAGGGAACTCTTATGTCAATACATAGGGAATTACTGAGTAAGATTATACTGATTAAATCAGGATTGGTGGATTGCCCATGGAGCCTGTAATTTTTAGAAATTCCATATTTAAAGGTGATGTAAAGTCCGTAATGTAAACAAACGCTTTGTTTACATTTTGAACTCAGTGCTACAGTTGTAAAATATGATTAGATATATATTGTACTGAATTTTTAACACTTTTCTGGTTCGTTATGCTTGTAAATGAATACAGACTAGAGATTCAATTCAAGAAAGTTCGGAAGGTGCGAAATATTAACAACATTCCAAAGGTTGCTCCCCCACTGATGGAATGTTTTGATGCGCAGAATATATGCGCAGAACGGACTTTACCGCATCTTTAAGATGCAATATGTAACAAATCCACTATGAGGACTGGACTAGATTTCACGTCCGCGCAATTTAATCAAGAAGCCTGATTCAGTCCAAGGACTGGATTAATTTTGATTGTAAGCGAAATAAAGCAATATGGTTGGCATTTTACTTTACATGAATTATTAATGAGTTTGAGAAAACTATTTTAGTATTTACTGCAAGGGCTTCGAAATAGCTGCCTGCTAGTGGCCAAAAGCATTCAGGTCATATTTGAGAATCGCTCAGGATGAGAGTACTATTATTTGCGCAAATAATTTTGAATGTGAATATTCTATCTTTCGTTTTATATCTTACGACAGGAGTAATTCAGAATGTGACGATACTGATCACTGCGCTCTTACTAGAAACTCATTATTTCTCCAATTTGAATGCGTCATTAGAACTACTTTCCGGTGCATAAATTATTCTTGGAATTATTATGAAAACGCATACTCTAAAATCAAAATTTTTAGATGAAGGGAGATATTTATCGAGTTGTATTCTGGTTATGGAATACCGCTTGTATGCAGGACACCACTTTCGTTAAGATTTTTAGCCCCCGCATTATTTATGAAATTTGATAGGATGCAATAATTCAAAATTTTCGGTCGCATCTTACTGGTATACTTCAAATTTATTGCAGCGTATTTGAGCTGGTGCAAACTAAAACTGAAGGTGTACTCAGGTACAATGTCACTGAAAGGCATGAGATCGCATGGTCGACGCCTCTGTCGCATTTTCATTTTTTATATAGAAGAGTATAGTAATCCTGATAACTAGGCTCTTTCAGACGCCGTACTCTTCTTGTGCCGAACTTAATGGACCATTTGCATTATAGACTAAATTTTGATCTAGACAAAAATTTCATCACAGCTTGAAAGAGCATCACAAAATTAGTACTATTCCAAAGTTTCGTTGCGAAATGTTGTAAAATACGGATAATATAGCCTTGCGAAATTTGCAATTTTCAGTCATTTTGTATTACAAACGGGAAATTGATGCCCCAACACCCGATTGGGCTGTCAATTTCCCGTGCGTAATACAAAATGACTGAAAAACGGCAAACTTTGCATGGCTATATTATCCGCATTTTACAACATTTCGCAAAGAACCTTTGGAATATTACTAATTTTGTGATGCTCTTTCAAGCTGTGATGAAATTTTTGTCTAGATCAAAATTTAGTCTATAATGCAAATGGTCCATTGTATTAAATGCGACGCTAGAGCGACACAAGGACGGCAGTGATTCAAACGGCGTACCAAATATATTCCCGAGCGAATCCTAAATAAAATTCAAAACAAATAAGTCTATTTTTAAATTACAAGATGGCACATGAGTGGAGCGGCGTACGAATCAATGTCGCTCCAACATCGCATAATGCGACAGGCTCTGCCGAACTTGTGTCGAACTGTTTGCCGCTCCAAATACTGCCGTACTTAATTGATTCATACGTCGCTCTTCTGCCGTACCTAATTCATCAATTAAGTTTGGCACATGATAAGTACGCCGTTTGAAACGGGCCAAAATCCCACCTATTCAATACCAAAACATGTCGAAGACATCCTAATATGTGCTAATATACATTTTCACCTGAAGCCTTCTTGGTAACCAATTTATTATAAGTGGATCAGTTACATTGATGAAATCTATTTGTTGACACTACACTCTAACACAATTTATAAATTGTGGTTCAGTGGTTGTACACAAACTACATATAGCAAATAACGGGCAACGGATTCCGGGTAGGTATTGTGATAAACAAACACAATCTACAAGAACATCACGCTGTTACAAAATGAATAAATCTCAGGTCACAGCTATTGTCTTCTCAAATACAGTCCATTATCCCTAATCTTTAGTTGATAAGTAGTTGAACTTTACGCCTTACCAATACTTACTAAGATTGGTTTATTGTTTCCTTTGTCATTAGGAAATGGTCAAACCACATCATTCTCATCATCATCAGCAGTACCACTAGGAACAAGCACAGCACCATCACCGGTAGTACCACCAGGAACAAGCACAGTACCATCACCAACAACGGCAGTACTACCAGGAATAAGCACAGCACCATCACCAACAATTGCAGTGCCACTAGGAACAAGCACAGCACCATCACCAACACCAGCAATACCTCCAGGAACAAGCACAGCACCATCACCAACACCGGCAGTACCACCAGTAACAAGCACAGCACCATCAACAACAATTGCAGTACCACCAGGAACAAGCACAGCACCATCACCCGCAGTGCCGCTAGGAACAAGCACGGCAACATCACCCGCAGTACAACCAGGAACAAGCACAGCACCATCACCAACACCGGCAGTACCACCAGTAACAAGCACAGCACCATCACCCGCAGTACAACCAGGAACAAGCACAACACCATCACCAACACCGGCAGTACCACCAGTAACAAGCACAGCACCATCAATAACAATTGCAGTACCACCAGGAACAAGCACAGCACCATCACCCGCAGTACAACCAGGAACAAGCACAGCACCATCACCAACACCGGCAGTACCACCAGTAACAAGCACAGCACCATCACCCGCAGTACAACCAGGAACAAGCACAACACCATCACCAACACCGGCAGTACCACCAGTAACAAGCACAGCACCATCAATAACAATTGCAGTACCACCAGGAACAAGCACAGCACCATCACCCGCAGTACAACCAGGAACAAGCACAGCACCATCACCAACACCGGCAGTACCACCAGTAACAAGCACAGCACCATCACCCGCAGTACAACCAGGAACAAGCACAACACCATCACCAACACCGGCAGTACCACCAGTAACAAGCACAGCACCATCAATAACAATTGCAGTACCACCAGGAACAAGCACAGCACCATCACCCGCAGTACAACCAGGAACAAGCACAGCACCATCACCAACACCGGCAGTACCACCAGTAACAAGCACAGCACCATCACCCGCAGTACAACCAGGAACAAGCACAACACCATCACCAACACCGGCAGTACCACCAGTAACAAGCACAGCACCATCAATAACAATTGCAGTACCACCAGGAACAAGCACAGCACCATCACCCGCAGTACAACCAGGAACAAGCACAGCACCATCACCAACACCGGCAGTACCACCAGTAACAAGCACAGCACCATCACCCGCAGTACAACCAGGAACAAGCACAACACCATCACCGGCAGTACCACCAGTAACAAGCACAGCACCATCAATAACAATTACAGTACCACCAGGAACAAGCACAGCACCATCACCCGCAGTGCCGCTAGGAACAAGCACAACACCATCACCCGCAGTACAACCAGGAACAAGCACAGCACCATCACCCGCAGTACAACCAGGAACAAGCACAGCACCATCACCCGCAGTACAACCAGGAACAAGCACGGCACCATCACCATCACCCGCAGGACCACCAGTAACAAGCACAGCACCATCAACAACAATTGCAGTACCACCAGGAACAAGCACAGCACCATCACCCGCAGTGCCGCTAGGAACAAGCACAGCACCATCACCCGCAGTACAACCAGGAACAAGCACAGCACCATCACCCGCTGTACAACCAGGAACAAGCACGGCACCATCACCATCACCCGCAGGATCACCAGTAACAAGCACAGCACCATCAACAACAATTGCAGTGCCGCTAGGAACAAGCACAGCACCATCACCAACTACAGTAACACCAACAAATACCATAGTACCAACAACATCAACAAGTACAACTACCCCGACAACATCAACTATTCCTTCTACTATTCCATTTGTCGAAAGTACAACCTACTACGAATATGCCATGACAATGAGAATAACGAAAATAAACACAGAAACCGGAGATAAAGAAGAAAAACAAACTTTATCTAAGCTTATCAACGAATGTTCCGATGAATACACGGAGAAAAGAACAGTTTACTATATAACTTTTCAAAAGTATTTGAAGAAACAAATATGTGGTATAAGGGCGTTTAAGAAAACAGATTGTAGATTAACGATAATAAATCTCAAGTGTGGTAGCCTGATTACCGAATATAAGTTAGTGCTTGGAGTGCACGGTTCTGATCCTAGAGGTATATCGACAGGTCATGCCGGGGACGTAATTAAGGATGAAATAGAAAATGGTTCACTTGGGGAATTTACAGTAGATAAATTCAATTCGACATTCAATGAGAACATACCCATTAATGTATATGTGATTATCACAATGAAGAAGTACACATGGTATGACTTTTGTAAAATTGAGGAACTTTTCAGAGAAAAGATCGCTGAAAGATCGTATGATATGGAAGGCCAAAAATTAGAAACTACTGACATATTCATTGTGAACGGCGAGATGAATTGTGCAACGCCAGATACAACCAAGGAGGGTATAGATGTTTGGCTTGTGGCGCTGGGATCAGATGCAGTAACCATACAAATTGGGAATGATTTGAAGGATTTGCTCGATTCCGGACAGTTAAGGAAACTTGGACATCTATTTGAGGACAGGGTAAATTTGAGTTATAAATTTTTTATACGATTGTATGGCGAACGACAGATATCGAATTTCGATTTTCCGATCACTGGCTAGATCTGTTTCAACTGCATTATCATATATACGATTGCAATTCCCGCCTGATTCATCGATCGCAAAGATAATTTAAAAATGCTTAATGCGATCTCTTATATAGGGCCTAGATGAAAATTACTTCGTGTAACTCTAGTCACCCTGTTTAAATAAAGTGTTTATTATTATATATTATATGTAAAGAAGGAATCTTATTAATGAACCTATATTCATCGTATAGCGTAGATCAGTGGATTACG